AGCGAAATCCATGACGCAACACGAATACCAAGTGCCACTAGATGCAATCACTCAAGCAATGCACTTGGATTCTCTCCCAATCTCACAATGATGATGGATCAATGATGGAGATGAGTGGGAGGGCTTTGGCTAAGCTCACAAGATTGCTATGTCAATGAAAATGTGCAAGAGAGAACCCTTGAGCGGCCATGGGGCTATAAATAGAGCCCCCATCAAATAGAGCCGTTGTACCCCTTCTTTGGGCAAAACACGCTCGACCGGACGCTCGGTCATACCGACCGGACGGCTGGCCCTCGTCCGTCCGGTCGCCCGATGGACGCCACGCGTCACCGACTTCAAACATTGTTGTTAAATCGATTTCAACGGCTCTGAAGTGACCGGACGCTCGGCAAAACCGACCGGACGCTGAAGTCCCAGCGTCCGGTCGTTTCGATAAGCTCGAGGCGTATTTCTTCGACCGGACGCGTCCGATCCACCTTGACCGGACTTGAGACCAGCGTCCGGTGCTCAACCCTTCCCATGTGTGTTCGTCGACATTTCGGCCAGGACACGACCTTTTCAGTCGTCCGGTCGCTAAGTGACCGGCGTCCGGTCGATGAGACCGACGCCTTGACATCATTCGACCAACTCCATTTCAACTCTAACTTCTTCACCCTTGCTCAAATATGCCAACCACCAAGAATTTTGCATCCGGCGCAATAGAAAATAGACATTTCATTTTTCCAAAAGCGCCGAATCCCGCCGAGCTTGCGAGGCGGGAGGAAGAGAGGGACCCAAACCCATCTCAACCCTGCAAACACCTTGTGCACATGTGTTAGCATATTTTCACAAATATTTTCAAGGGTGTTAGCACTCCACTAGATCCTAAATGCATATGCAATGAGTTAGAGCATCTAGTGGCACTTTGATAACCGCATTTCGATACGAGTTACACTCCTCTTAATAGTACGGCTATCTATCCTAAATGTGATCACACTCACTAAGTGTCTTGATCACTAAAACAAAATGGCTCCTACATTTTATACCTTTGCCTTGAGCCTTTTGTTTTTCTTTTTCTTCTTTTCCAAGTTCAAGCATTTGATCATCACCATGTTATCACCATTGTCATGATCTTCGTCGTTGCTTCATCACTTGGAGTTGTGCTACCTATCTCATAATCATCTTGATAAACTAGGTTAGCACTTAGGGTTTCATCAATTAACCAAAACCAAACTAGAGCTTTCAGAGCGGCGCCATCCGATGCGAAGCAGTTACAGACATCGGAGCTGCGTTCGGACACGGACCTAGGCCCGGACGTCCGGGCGCTAGCCCTTCCATTTAAATAATATAGATACAGACGCCATGATCCGTATTTTTTACTATTTGGCCCTTTTTTCGAAAGAAAATTTATGTTTACCCCCCTGGGAGACTAAAACTCATCTTTGGACCCTGAGGGTCGGCGCCATGAGTCCTGATGCCGAGGTAACATGTCTGGCCGTGACCTGCAGGAAATCCTATGTGACATTGACATGGCCGATACCTCGGCGCCAGAATACATGGCGCCGAGCTCAGCGCCGCAGATCTTGGCGCCGAGCTTGGCGCCATGTATTCTGGCGTCGAGCATGCGTTTAAAGCGTGCGCCGGTACCGCATGTCTCCATCCACCAAGGACTTCGCCTCGTCGACCGATGCGGCACTGCGTCCCACGGACTCATGGAGCAAGCGGAGGAAGGAGAAGGGGAAGCAAGCGAATCGATTCGAATCCATCTCGATCACGTAGTAGTAGCAGCGTATTGTAGGCTATGCTAGCTACTCCTAGATGCTAGCACGTCGTAGTACGATCTGGCAACTCAATCGCCATCAGTCACGTCCGTGCGGCAGCGCAGCCTGCCGTGCGAATGGCACGTCACTCGTTGTTCGATGGACGCGACTGCGGTTGCACTGCCTTCGGCTCTGGCTGGTTGCCCCTGCACCACAGCTCCAGCGATATCGACGACTGGCTGTCTGACACCGAAGGGACGGGACGAGGCGAGGGGGGCAGGGGCATCACCACGCCTACTGGCTACCGCTTCGCTCTCCCAGCACGGGGCGACGTCACTTCTTTACATTGCATTTTTGTTTGATTTATTTATTTATCTATATATTTATATAAAATGTTAAAATAACTCAATTCTCATAGTTATTATCTTAATCAAATATTGTGAGGTTCGACTAAATTTATAGTATTCTTTACTAAGATTTATGATACCAATTTTTAGAAAGTGATGGATACCTTTTCATTAAATCAAAAGATCATTACATAAGTCCGGATAAAGTCCGGGACTTCATAAAACCAAGACCAGACTAAATCATAAGACTTACGAACTGATCTAGCTAGAATATAAGCTACCACCTAAGTGACGTCGCCCCGCTCGGGGAGAGCGAAGCGGTAGCCGGTAGGCGTGATGATGCCCCTGCCTCCCTCGCCTTGTCCCGTCCCTTTGGTGTCAGACAGCCAGTCGTCGATATCGCTGGAGCTGTGGCGCAGGGGCAACCGGCTAGAGCCGGAGGCAGTACAACCGCAGCCGCTCCGCCGAACAGCGAGTGACGTGCCGTTTGCACGGCAGGCTACGCTGCCGCACGGACGTGACTGATGGCGATTGAGTTGCTAGATCGTACTACGATGTGCTAGCAGCTAGGAGTAGCTAGCATAGCCCACAATACGCTGCTACTACTACGTGATCGAGATGGATTCGAATCGATTCGCTCACTTCCCCTTCTCCTTCCTCCGCTTGCTCTGTTAGTCCGTGGGACGCAGCGCCGTACCAGTCGACGAGGCGAATTCCTCGGTGGATGGAGACATGCGGTACTGGCGCACGCTTTAAATGCATGCTCGATGTCAGAATACATGGTGCCAAGCGGCACCGAGCTCGGCGCCATGTATTCTGGCGCCGAGGTACCGGCCACGTCAACGCCACCTAGGATTTTCTGCAGTGCATGGCCAGGCACCTCGGCGCCAAGATCTGTGGCGCCGAGACATGTTACCTCGGCGTCAGGACTCATGACGTCGACCCCAGGGTCTAAAGATGAGTTTAAGTCATTCAGGGGGCTAAACGTAAATTTTGTTCGAAAAAGAGCCTAATAGTAAAAAATACGGCCTGGAGAACAACCGTGAGGGCGGGGCCCAGCGATGGGAATGGCTTCTCTTGTTTGGGACACGAGGGGGCAGCAGGTCCCGGTCCATGGGCCCACTGACAGGTCCTGAAGCTACTTTGGGCTGGGCCCGTCATCTGGGTCACATCTCACATCACATCAAGTGTCGGCCCCAGCTAACATACAGTATGTTCCATCCAGCAAACATCAGGAATGCAAACTTTTGTTCAGACTTCAGATTTCAGACAAAGCGTACAAAATAATGATCTGTATAGATCAATTCATAGCATCTCCGTTCTCCATGGGTTAATTTGTGTATTCACTTTCACGGAGAAGTATCTTGCCGGCCCAGATTTCTCTAGCTAATCCTGTATCCAGCAGCTTGTTGGTCTCAGCAAACACACGTTCCACTGGGATTGGCACGGTATCTCCTTTTACCAAGATTACTGACAAAGAAGGTTTGAAGGCTAGTGCCACAAGCAAAAAACCAAGCGGATGAATTTTCATGTTAACTTTATGCTACAAGACAGAAGCAGTAAAGCTAATAAAGTTCAGCCAAGGAATTAAACAATGCTTAGTTTTACTTTGCCTAAGTACCACAACTGTTCAAGAGCCAATGTACACTTGTCTTGGCCTCATGGAAGGAGCTCAATTGTCCTACTCGTGTACTGCAACAGTTCTCCAATCAAGTAAAACCTTCCAGAGTTCCAGCTGGTCATTTGGGCATATAATATCCACAGGCTTAGATTCAATAAATATATTCATCATATGGTCACCATCGTCCAGATCACTTGTCGACGGCTTTGGAAAGTAAGAAAGTAAGACCCCGTTTAAATTCTAAAAAATTTTACGCACTATTCGTCACATCAAATCTTGCGATATATGCATGGAGTACTAAATGTAGACGGAAAAAAAAAACTAATTGCACAGTTGGGTGAGAAATCGTGAGACGAAACTTTTGAACCTAATTAGTTTATAATTAGACACTAATTGTCAAATACAAACGAAAGTGCTACAGTAGCCAAAATCCATTTTTTCCCCCTAAACGGGGCCTAAGACACGGTCCCAAGCTTGCGACTTGCGAGCCATGGCACTTGTCATCGCCAGTCCACAGGGCGTCTCCTGTTGATGAGGTCACGAACAGACGTATAGGTAGGTACGCGCGTAGACGAGGGAAAACCGAAACCGGAAAAGAAAAGCAAAGTAAAAATGAAAAAAAGAGAATGGAAAGAGGGAAAAAATAATAAAAAGGTAAAAAAACAAGAAATAAAAAAAGTAGTTATTATATGCGCTAGAAGATAATAGTATATCTATAGAAATGGCAAAAGTGACTTGTATATACAACACATAAATTTCGTGACAACACTGATGAACAGATTTCGTTCGTGACAGTTGTGAGATCCAATTCCGGCACACGTGTATACTCTCGCCTCTCGGTACTCCGAAGTCTCCAACTCGGTTTTTCTTCGTAGAAAATATCCAACTCCGATTAGTTCCGCGATCGAGACCGTATTCGACAATCGGCAATTCGGCACGGAGTCCGCTGTCCGGATTGGCGACGTTGTCGAGAGGAGGCAAAATATATATATATATATATATATATATATATATATATATATATATATATATATATATATATATATATATATATATATATATATATATATATATATACCTAGTACTGGCAAGCGACACACGATCCCACAAAAAGAGATCGATCGAAGAAAAGAAAACGTACGACGACTGTGATCATATCGATGACAGCGGCGGCGGAAGAGGAGGCGACGTGGCCAGACCTGAACGACGACGTGGTCATCGATCGAGATCCCGCTGCGCCTCCCGACCGCCGCCGTTCTCCGCTCACGTGCCGTCTGCAAAGCATGGCCGCGCATGAGCAGCAGCGCCGAGTTCATCGCCGCCCACGCCCGGCACCGCCCCCTGGAGCTCATCTTCCAGCGCGGCACGTTGGAAAGCATCCCGTTGCTCACCCTTGACGAGGCGGAGCAGCAGTGTCGTCTCCGTCACGCGCAGTACTACCCCGCGTACACGAGACCCACCGGCGGCGGCGGAGATTGGAGTGGACACGTCTTGCTCGATTCCTGCGACGGGCTCCTGCTGTTTCAGAGAGACAGTGACCGTAAGGACTTCGTCGTCTGCAACCCGGTTACGCAGCAGTGGAGCATGGTGCCTCGTGTCCCCGGCGCCGCCTACACGGTGCCGACCGGGTTCTACGTGCACGGGCCATCAGGCGAGCACCGGCTCCTATGCCTCACCGCCGACGACCAAGGAGGATCATACTACGTTTGCACGCTCGAAGCTGCGGCCCAAGCCCCCCGTCGGCTGGGACAAGCCTGGCCCTGGCCCTTGGGCAATCTCTACGCGGACCTACCCGTTCGCTACGTCAACCTTGGCGGCAAGCTTCACTGGTTGCAGCATCCCAAGATTCGTTTCTCAGCTGATGGGTGGCCTCCCAGTGCGGAGGGAAGACGCCCGACGATCCTGGCGTTCGACAGCGTGCTAGAGACGTTCCGACGGATACGCCGCCCGCCGTGGGAGCTGAGGGGGACAGCTGCTTCCTGCTGGAGATGGACGGGATGCTGGCCATGGGGCATTTTCACATCTTGCGTTTCATAGACATCTGGGTGCTGCAGGACTACGATGACGACGAGAGCTGGACGCGCCGTCTCCGGGTTGGCCTGCCGCAACAGTTGCGGGGTTCATGCTAGGCGATGAACGCCGGCGTGGAAGTGGAAGGACGGAGTGTGATTCTCCTGGGAAACCGTATGAGGTCATGGGTGGGATTATACGATGTGGTGGAGAAAGGGTGTTGAAGCAAACACAGCTTGCTACGTCGGATAACCGCATCCCCCTCAACGTGCTTGTTTTCAAGGATACTCTAGAGCGACATTCTTCGATATTCACCAACTAACTATAGAGAGTCCACCCCTCTCTTCTTCTTCTAGTCTAGAAAAAGGAAAGTCCGTATACCTGAATTATGTAGGGCAATTTTGGCCCCGTTCGCTTCGCTGAAAAAACAAGACAAAACATTGTTCCGGCTGATTTATTGTGAGAGAAAAACACGGTTCCGGCTGAAAAAAGAAGTTGAAAAGTACGGATTATAAGAGAAGCGAACATGACCTTTTACTTTTGATTTACTGCTACCATAATTTAGGCGCTTTTATTTATATATAATATATAGACAGATTTCATAAGGATCATCACTTGCATTTCAGTCGCCTAATAAAGGGCATTTATTTCCCAATCTCAAAAACAAAAAAGGGCATTTATTTCCATCTCACAAGTTCAGGGCTGCTGAATTCGAACAGATCACATATTAACAACCAAATTATGTAAAAGGTCCTTGTGTGGTTTTGGTAATTGAGTGACAATCTAGGTGGACTAATTGTGTTTATGTGAGATACACAGGTGATTCGTCCACAGGTTCATGTGTGTGAGTAGCGTATGTCATGAAGGTGAAAATGACTTGGAGATGTTGCAAAGCTCACACATGTGATGACGAAGGAGCTCATTGCAAATGAGACATAACATTGAGTCATGTGATCAAGGTGGAGAAGATCAAGACTTACAAGCGTGAAGGGCAAGTTGGAGGCTTTGGAGCGATGGACCGCGTGGCGGTGAAGCTTGAGTAAGACTTGGCGCCGATGGACGAAGGCAACGGTGAAAAGCAAGTGAAGTCAAGATCGATGAACCAATATGATCACGTGATGATATGAAGTGAATCATATCATTGTTGATCATGTTGGTGTATGTGTTGCATCAACATTGAAGAAGATGGAATGGAATACGCAAGGCAAAGATATAACCTATGGCATTTCATTTCACCGGTCATAGGTGTGTAGAGAAGTTGATGATCAGGTTTAGGATAGATGGCCGTACTATCAAGAGGGGCAAACTTGTTTGCATATCGGTCATCTAGTGCCACTCGAGTGATCTAACTTTGTATCGTCGCTAGGATTGAGTGACGTGGCAAGTTGAGTGGCTAATCCTTTGGAAAATAATTGTGAAAATGCTAACACACATACACATGGTGGTGTACACTTAGTGGTGTTGGCACATTTACAAAAGAGATGAAGTTAGAGTTGATGTGGATCAACTCGGTGATGGAACGGAGGCGAGAAGGGTTCGAAACTGCACCGGCGGAGTGTCCGTTCGTAGAGTGCGAACAGTCCGACGGTGCCACTGGCACCCTATATAGAAAAGATAGGGTCTCACATAATGGACCGGACGCTGGTCATGTGGTGACCGGACGCTGGGGTCCTGCATCCGGTCAGTGGCGGCAGAGAGCGTGCAGGCGTCGGTCTTCGATCGGACGCTGGATCTGGAAGTGACCAGACACTGGCAGGGTCCGTCCGGTCAGGCTGACGTACGGTGACATAGGCGATGTAGAAAAGTTAGAGAAGGACCAGACGCTGATGCTGCGTTCGATCGTGACCGACCGAACGCGTCCAGTCACGAGTGGAACCTTACTGGAAGTGACCGGACGCTGAGGTCCTGCGTCCGGTCATACACCGTGCTGCGTCCGGTCGCAACTTAACCGTTGAGATCGGACGCTCAGTATTTGAAGTCAGGGATGACGTGGCAGCCATCCGTTGACCGGACGCCGGCAGGGTGCGTTCGGTCGATATAACTGGTGTGTCCGGTCAACCGAAAAAACGCCTAGTGAAGGGGTGACGGCTAGTTTAACCTGTGGAGGTATAAATAGAAGGGTGTCTCGGCCATGGTTAGTGCAAAGCACCTTGGGGGACTTTGTGTCCATGCTTGAGAGTGCTTGAGAGCCCTCCATCTCACATATGCTTGATAGTGATCATCCGATTGTGTGAGAGAACGATTCTAGTGCGATTGCATCGTGAGGTTGCATTGAGTGGCACTAGGTGATTGAGTTGCAAGCCGGTGGTGCTTGTTACTCTTGGAGGTTGCCACCTCCTAGACGGCTTGGTTGTGGTCTCCGTCGAAGCCCGCAAGAAGCTTATGCGGTGCTCCGGAGAAGAGCTTTGTGAGGGGCATTGTGCTCGCCCCGCGGAAGCCGCGAAGAGCAACTCTAGTAAAGCATGTCATTGAGCTATCCTGACTTGCGGGGTAGGTTCTTACGGTGCCTGACGTGCGGGCTTGGCGGGTGATGCCAATTAGCCGCCGGACCACCAAGTGAGCGGTCGACACAATGGGGACTAGCGTGTTGGCAAGCACGTGAACCTTGGGAGAAAAATCACCGTGTCAACCTTTTTCTTCCCGTTGGTTTGCATCCTAGTTACACAAGCTTATAATTACTTTCATATACATTGTGCTTGTGTAGTTGCTCTTGTATTTAGTTAGCTTGTGTAACTCACTAGTTACCTTCTTGCTTGTGTAGCATAGAAGTAGCTCCCTTGCGTGGCTAATTTGGTTTGTGTAGCCTTGTTAATCACATTGCTTAGATTGTGTAGCTAAGTATTTGCGCTCTCTAATTTGGCATTGGTTGCCTTATTACTAAGCATTGCTAGTGAGCTTAGTTGGCTTTGTGCTTTTGCTTACTAACATGTGTAGGAGCTCTCCGTTGGTTAAAGTACTAGTTGCATAGGTTTGTGTGATCTTGCTTCTAGAATTGATTAGGTAAGCTCTAGCTAGCCCGACACCTTTGTTGATTAATTAGGATCTTTGCAAGGTGCTAGAGAACAAAGATAGAGGGGTGTAGTTTTGGCTAGACCGATAGTATTAATTCCGCACTTGTTTTGGTTAGCCGACACGATTAATTTGAGAAAGGACTATTCACCCCCCTCTAGTCCGCCATCTCAACCTTACATCATGGCAAGTTCAGGACTGCTAAATTCGAACAGATCACAGATTAACAACCAAATTAGGCAAGTTCAGGACTAATGAATTTGAACATATCACATATTAATAATCAAATCAGGGCAAGTTCAGGACTACTGAATTCGAACAGATCACAGATTAACAACCACATCAGGGCAAGTTCAGGATTGCTGACATATTTACAACCATCATGGTTTTCAGCAGTAACAAAAACAACCATCATGGGTCTTACTGCAAAACCCATCCGGAGGAGGAATCTACCATACTCGTATACCCTTATATCTACCATATACCATTTTTTTGCTTCTAGGAAGAGCCACATCGCCTTCTTTCCCTGGCCGTTAGATTCCATGTCAACAGTCAGCTACCCACTGCCTGGAACCTTCGACAAGCTTCCTGCCCCATCCAGCCCTCCACGTTGCTTTCCACCCCTTCCATTTCGGACTCAGATTCGGTGCCTTTCCTCTAGCACTGTTGAAAGAGAATCCGATGGCTCTCACAAATTTTCAGCGCATCTTTTAGCTTTTCCCAATGGAAATAGGCGGGAGCGGGAGCGACGGCTCATCTGCGCGCGCGTTGTGTCGGTCTCCCGCGCGCTGCACTGCCGAGTACAGCTGCGCCAGTCTCCCACGTGCCGTGCTGGTCTCCCACGAGTCGCGCTGCCCATCGGCGGCTTGGCCAGTCTCCCGTGCGCTGCGCCGCTCACTGCCTGGAGGAGTCGAGCCACCTACAACCGTCGATCTAAAGAGCCAAGCCGCGTCGAGGACGAGGAGCACTGAGCAGACCAGCATCCTACGTAGGGATGCCTTCTAGGAGCACTGCAACTGCAGGACATCATCGATGAGGACCATCCTTGTGAGTTGCTTCACAAATTCAGAATAGAACCCCTTCTTAAGTTTCCTGTCAAATTGTAACAGACCTAGTTGCTTCACAGATTCAGAATAGAACCCCTTCTTAAGTTTCCTGTCAGATTGTAACAGACCTAATGCTGCTATGAGGCTGTGATGCTATTGATATGATTTTGATTGGTTCGAAGGATGCAAGTCTAGCTTAGTCTCTCTGCTATAACACCATTTATTGTCATGAAACTTCAGTACCAAAATCTGTTGTAGTCCAGTTACTCTGCATCTATGTGCTATTTATTGTTTACAGTAAATGTTTAGCTTGATAAAAAAATGCAAATATGTCATCATGTGCTAGTAATTGTTTGCTGTAAATTTTGTTCTTTGTGACAAAATTTGATAAGGAAAATTGGGTTAGATATTGAAAGGCAATGGCAGAACTTGACAAGGGAACACCTGAAGTTGGTTTGAGGTTTCGAAATCCAGATGAGGCTTGGCAGTTTTGGGTGGCATATGGGGGTCGTACAGGCTTTGATGTGAGAAAAAGATATAGAAATTTAAACAAATTTGATGGCAAGGTGACTTCATGTAGATTTGTTTGTGCCAACGAAGGCCATCGGAAGAAAGTGGAAAGAGAGCATGTGACAAAGTGTTTTAGAGCTGAAACAAGAACTGATTGCAAAGCACGAATGACAATTACATTGGACCGAGGGGAAGAAAATTATGAAGTCACTGATGTTGTCCTTAAACACAATCACTCCCTTCACTTGCCTGAAACTCGACACTTGATGGCATCACAAAGGAAAATTTCAGAACTACAGGCTTTTGAAATTAAGACCGCCGATGATTCTGGAATTAGGCCAAAAGCTGCCCATGAGTTGGCTATCCGTCAAGTTGGAGGGCCACTTAACCTTAGTTACGCTTATCGTGACCGCAAAAATTATTTACAGAGCAAGAGGCAGAGGGAGTTAGCATTTGGACAGG